CGCTACTCCTGTGTGTGCTCATTTGAAAAACAAAATGTTCTAACTTGATTCGAGTTTCAAAACTCTAGAGCTTCATGATGAGTTTGGTTTCAAGCTTCATCAAGTAGGCAAAATATTATGTTGCTGACAAAAATAAAAGTCCAAACAAATTACTCAAAATGCTTAGATGTCACAAGGTAAAATGCATCAAAACTACAAAAGTTATCAGAATCTGTTATTAGTATGGGAGGTCATTCTGTTCATGTGTTGCTTTTATTGGTTAATAAATAAAGAACTGCTTTGAGCCTATGGCAGGGGAGAACAGAACAAGGTGGGGAAAGCTAGGCTGTATGCTGGGAGAAAGAAGGGTGGAGTCAGAGAGAAGCCTTGGAGCCACAGAGACAGATATACTAAAATTTTGCTGGTAGACCACGACCTCGTGGTGATGCACAAATTAATGGAGATGGGTTAAATTAATATGTAAGAGATTAGCCAATAAGAAGCTAGAGCTAATGGGTCAAGCAGTTATTTAATTAATACAGTTTCTGTGTAGTTATTTTGATTCCAAGCTAGCCGGGCGGCTGGGAACCAATAAGCAGCCTCTCATTACATATTATGCTGTCCTAACATAACAACATGATCTTACTGTGGGATAATAATTTAAGTAACCAAACATTTTGGTAAAGTATTTGTAATTTTTTTTTTTTTTTTTTTTTTTTTTTGGTTTTCGAGACAGGGTTTCTCTGTAACTTTTGGAGCCTGTCCTGGAACTAGCTCTTGTAGATCAGGCTGGCCTCAAATTCACAGAGATCCGCCTGCCTCTGCCTCCCAAGTGCTGGGATTAAAGGTGTGTGCACCACTGCCCAGCTTGTAATTATTTTTTTAAAGATTTATTTTCACCAGGTGATGGTGTCTCACACCTTTGATCTCAGCACTCGGGAGGCAGAGTCAGGTGGATCTCTGTGAGTTCGAGGCCATCCAGGGCTACATAGAAAAACTCTCTCTCATAAAAAAATATAAAAGTAAAGTAACAGATACACGTCCCTGAGAATGGGTTGAATTGTGTCCCCTGAAGAATGTGATGTTATCTGACAATAGAGTCTTGACAGATGTGGCTAAGTATTATGGGATAATCTTTTTGTACACTGTGAAGATGTGTCTCTGCCAGGGCATCTTCTGATTGCTAAAGACCAGGGGAATCAGGTGTCCAAGGTCTTCCTCAGTTATAACAAGTTCCAGACCAGTCTGGTATACATGACACCTTATCTCAAAAATGAGGGGATGCGGGGAGTTCTTTGGAAATTAATAGAATTCATAGTTTCTTAAATAGGGATCATTTCTGAATTGCTCCTCCTTCATAATCCCTTTATGTCCTCTGCTTGTACATGTAGTACTTACATTTTCAGTTTTTTAAAGGTGTCATACAACATTAACCTATATATAGAGAAATAACGAATAATACAATAACTATTCATTTGCTTAATGTGTACCTTAAATTGAAGCACCGTCAACTCTTAAACTCTCTGGAGATCTCCCACTCTTGTCTTTCTCGTCCTCCACTTAGAGCGAAGAGAGCAAGCAAAAAGATCTTGTCCTAAGTGCTGCCATTTTAACTTCAGACTCCATTTTAAGAGTAGGGAAAAACAAAAGTTCAAGTTCCCAAGCCTTAGGGAACCAACCTCCTCCTTCAACAACAGAAATGATCTGTTATTGCCCCTTAGCTCTCTAGAATGTTATGGCTGTTTCTAACAACAGAAAGAACAAAACGAATCTGATTGGTTGGTTGAAAGGCTTCCATTCTATGCTGGTTGACAATGAGGGAACACTTAAGGAAAGCCTCTACTCCCTGGATCCGGTGGGGGGGGGGATGTAACTGTAACCAGACACAGGTGTGTTTATGGTTTTGTGCTTATAAACCCTGCTTCTGTCCCTGCTCTGGCCTCCAGGAAAAGCAAGGCTCCTGAGCCCTTGTCGTGCAGCCCTGATTGATTGGTAACCCTGCTTATGTGGTGATTTAATAAAGACTTTGAATCCATAGTGTTGTCTCTCTCCTTCCTTGTGGTGACAACGGACACATGTATAACACCTTAACTCTCTTTATAGACCAGGCTGGCCTCAAACTCACAGAGATCCTCCTAATTCTGCCTCCCGAGTGCTGGCATTAAAGGTGTGCACCACCACCACTCTTCAAGATCCTGTCCTTGAATTTGAACTTGCTTATTCCCAGGAACTTCCAGAATCCATAACTAGATTGTGTTTGGCTATAAATAATACATTGTCTTGTTTTCCATATTTTAAACCTTTTAAAAATTATATTGTATTATATGTGTTTTTCTATCAATTACACTAATGCTGTAGAATATTATTTTAAGGTATATTTGTTTATGCAGTGGAATATTAGTTTTAATGATGCAAAAATGTGTTGCATTCTTTTCTGTTACTTTTGTTAACTCTGTGAAGCTGTCTTACTTTGCCTGTCTAAAACACCTGATTGATCTAATAAAAAGCTGAATGGCCAGTAGCTAGGCAGGAGGAAGGATAGGTGGGACTATCTATCATAGTCACAGAGGCAGAGAGAATAAAAAGGAGGAGAAATCTGGGAAGACAGATGGAGGAGCAAGAAAAGAAGGGTCTCACACACAGACATGAAATAAGAAGGAAAGAAAAGATATACAGAAATAGAGAAAAGTAAAAGCCCAGAGGCAAAAGGTAGATGGAATAATTTTAAGTTAAAGAAAGCTAGCTAGAAATAAGCCAAGCTAAGGCTGGGCATTTATAAGTAATAATAAACCTCTGTGTGATTTATTTGGGAGCTGGGTGGCAGGTCCCCCAAAGAACCAAAAGAGTACAACAATCAACAACACACTAATATTACTTCTTGTCTTCGTGTGTGTGTGTGTGGGGGGGGTGTTTCGTATGTATTTGGTATGCTTGTGTGTTTCATATGTTTGTTAGTGTGGTTGTCAGCACATTTGCCTGCAGATGGAAAGTGCAGTGACTGATGTCCAGTGTCTCTCCTCGGTCCTCTCCACCTTTTAGGTTTTTTTGAAAAGGTATATCTCACTAAACCTGGAACTTATAGATTTGCCTAGGCTGGCCAGCCAACTAGCTCAGGAATCTATCTGCCTGTCTCTCTGAGGTGATAAGCACATGTCACAGAAACCAGCTGTTTTACATAGATTCTGGGGATCCAAATGCAGGTCCTCAGGCCAACTGAGACTGCCTCGGCTCATTTATTTCATTTGTGAGGTTTATCCACTTTGGAATATGTCTTTCTGGCTGATTTTGTTTCACTTATATATCATATTCCAGTCTATGAAAATGATAATCTATCTAGTTTCCTGTTGTTGAACAAGTAATTCTTGCCATTTTCCCTCATCCCAACCATGCTTCTTCTACTTGTCACATAGAATATAAGTATAATAATCTTTGTCTAGGATCGATATTTAATAGTGCATCCTGGGGTGTGCTACCTTCAACTTCACTAAATGCTGACATATCGTCTTCTCACATGTTTCTAACAATTTAGGTTTCTACCAGCCAATACCTGTTAATTCCAGTGTTCCACCTTCCACAGTAGTACAACACTGATGGCCTTTTAACTTTAAAGTTAGCCTGAGGGCATGGAAAGGGCCGGAGGTGATTTTAACACACCGTGTTCCCTTTTTCTTCTCTCTGCTACTTTTTATTGTTTTGTATTTTCTCACTGGTTTGTAAGAATTTTGACATATTCTGCATACAGGACCTATGCTGGCCTTAGGTGTGTATGGCCCATACCTTCTTCACCAAACATCAGAACACCAGGTTTTCTTCGTCCCTCTCCATAGTGTTTCTTTCTTTACATTTTGTAACATTAGAAATCAGTTCCTGTCACATTTCTCTCCATAGTATTGTTCATGTGGCAAAGAGAGAGAGAGAGAGAGAGAGAGAGAGAGAGAGAGAGAGAGAGGCTAAGGCAAGACTCACCAAGAATTAAAGTTGCCTCTAAAAAAACAAAACATTTTAGGGGTCTCCTGAAGTCCAGGTTGACCTTGAACTCACTATGCAGTGCACACTGGTCTTGAACTCCTGACCCTCCTACCTCCACCTCCCAGTTACTGGGACTGTTTGTGTGAATCAGCACACCTGACCAATCACACAGTTTAAAAGATAATTTGAGATGTGACATCCCATTTCTTCTGTATATACCCATACCCTTTGTGTAGAAGTGAGTCATTAAAATCTCATCCAAATTCAGGTGTTTTGTCTGCCTGTACTGCATAGTCAAACCATGACTTACATCTCATTCAGTTCTCAACAAATTCCAAATTCTTTTTTGTGGTTGTTCTTGTTTTTCGAGACAGGGTTTCTCTGTAGCTTTGGAGCCTGTCCTGGAAAACTAGCTCTTGTAGACCAAGCTGGCCTCGTCCTCACAGGGATCCGCCTGCCTCTGCCTCCCTAGTGCTGGGATTAAAAGCGTGGACCTCCACCCCCAGGCTAAATTCCAAATTTTATAAGGAGGCTCTGTGAAGATCAGCCACTAATCCAAGCTCCTGGGTCCAACAGTGGAAGCAATGCTTAACCGTAGTTGCTCTTTTTAAAAAAATAGAATAAAATAAACGGAATTGTTTTCAATTATCCTGGCCGATCCAACTGAGAGAATAAACTTCAAACTCTTGTACAATTAAAAAAAAATCAAAAAAAAAACAAAAACAACAAAAAAAACTTATACCCAGTTCAAACTCTCATTATCCTAAAAACAGTAACTTCCACCAGGCTGCAATTTTATACTACGTTGCCACCCTGAGGGATGGGTGGTTATTCAATATTTGCAATTAAATACAAACAAAATCAGGTCACTGAGTAACGCCCAAGGTGCGGATGGAGTGTCACAAGAAGTTTTTAAAGAGTTGCCGCCATTGCCCGCAATGGCATCCTGGGAATTGTAGTTTCGCCTTACTTGAACCTGGGTCACTGGGATCCAATCAGTAGAAAGCCAACAACCATATGCACCCCGATTGGCTGAGAGCCGCGGCCGCCGCTCCTTGGCCGGTCGCTCAGTCTTTTGCAAAGGCGGCCCACGGTATTTGCGAAGTGTGTGTTCCGCTGGTTTTTTGGCAGAGTTGGTGGGTGATCCTCCAGGGCGACCATGGCAGAGCCACAGCCTGCGTCCAGCGGCCTCACGGATGAGGCCGCCCTCGGCTGCTGCTCCGACCCGGACCCCAGTACCAAGGTGGGCGACAGGGCCTCCTTCTCTGGCTGCCCGAGCGGACCTGGGACTCTGGCCCGGCAGGTCTGGGCCGAATCTTAACGCTATCGGCGGCAGCCGCCGGTCCTCTGGTTTAAAGCGCAATGGAGTGAGCTGGGAAGAGAGGCCGTTGGAGTAGACAGTGCGGGGGGCGGAGGTATCCCCTTCTTCAGAAAGTTATTTCAAAACATCTGACTCCATGTGCTTTAATTTGTTTATTTTTGCACGGTGTCTTGAAGCCAGGCCAAATCTGGGTCAGATTCAATGTCTGTGTGTTTAGTTGTCCCTCAGTCAGAGGCCATGGTCCTTTGGAGGTGCAGTTTCTGGACTCCCATAGTTAAGGGCCCTGTCTTTAACTGGTCCCTCCCAGTCGCACTCACTTTCTGTAGTCGCCGTGAGTCCGGCTTTCACTCCTCCAAACTGATTTAAACGCATTTGCTGTTGCACAAGGCCACACTTCTGTCCCTGTGAGTCTGGTGGAGAAACTACAGGACTTGGGTCTGAAGGGACTCTCAACCATCTTCTGGCCCTTTTGTTTTGCAGTTACAGCCTAGTAGGGACATAACCTGTGGCATGAGAAAGCTTTCACGTAGCATGAATGTACTTACAGTCGGCTAAAACTCATTCAGGTGTGGTACCCTGGTCTGGGAGGTCCAAGCAGCCACCTCCAAAAGTACCTCACTGTCTCGGCATTGTGGCTGACGGAGGAATTTAGTCCTCCTGTGTAGTCAGTCGTCTGTGTCAGTAAACACCTTTGCATATACTCATTTAGGTGTATCATTTGTAAATCCCCTGATGATTGAACGCAAGCTTGCAGACCTCTAGGAGGGGCAGATAGAGGGCGAAGGACTTTGGTCCCTGCTTGTTCTTTGCCTTTAGGGCAGCGAGAGTCAGGCATACTGTAATTGCCAGAACCTTTGACTAGAACAAGGTGTGTATTGAGGAAAGATCTTAGTCACCAGAAAATTAAGGCAGGAAAGAAAGAATGGATACACATCACACACCTTTCCACACCTTCCACTTACACGTACCTTAGTTTGCATTTAATTTTTTTCTAACTTTTTAAAAATGTATTTTATCTATGCCTTGTTTGCTTGTACATCTGCACCTCAGAAGAGGGCTTTGGATCCCGTAGATGGTGTGAGCCACCATGTGGTTTGCTGGGAATTGAATACAGGACCTCTGGAAGAGCAGCCAGTTTCTTAACCATTGAGCCATCTCCATCCCCTGCTTTTATTTTTGTTTTTTAACATTTATTTGTATGTGTGTGTTGCATGCATACGTGTGGAGGTCAGTGGACAACTTTCTCTCTGTCCATGTATGTGTGGACCTTGGGATTCGAATTCAGGTCTTCAGACTTGGCCGCTAGTAACTACCCGCCGAGCCATTTTGTCAACCTCCTAGTTATTTTATACGCTATAAGTTGGTTCATTCTATGTTTCCTACAGTACTCAAAATTTTACCCACTTAGCGATTTTCTTTTCTTTCTTTCTTTCCCTTTTATTCTTTTGTTTGTTTGTTTAGACAGGGTCTCATTATGTAGCTTTGCCTCGCTGGGAACTTGCTCTGTAGACCAGGCTGGCCTCAAACTTACAGAGATCCAACTGCCTGTTTCCCCTAGTACTGGGGTTGAAGGAATGCACCCTCACAACCAGCTCTTTCTTGCTGGGCTCTTGCTTACAAAGCGAAATCAGAGTCCAGCTACTGTTCTATGTCAGCTGATTACCTGGTAACTGGGGGTTTTAGGAAGCAGGCTGTTTCAAACACAGCCAGCCTGGTTCCAGGGCCTGGGAATGTGGTGTGGTAGAGATCATGCTTGACTTTGAAGTCAATTCTTAACATTCAAAAAAGAAAGAAAAAAGAATGAATAAATTAAAAGTCTCAGGAAGATCTTTAAAATATATATGAAAATTATTTTTTAAAAGACTGTATGCAGTGTTCTTCCTGCATGCCAGAAGAGGGCATCAGATCTCATTATAGATGGTTGTGGGCTACCATGTGGCTGCTGGGAATTCAACTCAGCCAAGTGCTCTTAACTGCTGAGTCATCTCTCCAGCCCAAAATGTACTTTTTTGTACCTTGATTTACATTCCACATTCTCCAAATGTCTCTTGATTTGAAATTACCTTTTGAGATTAGGCATTTTTAGTCATGGACCAAAATACAATTAAGCATGTAGAGATGTAAAATGAGTTGCCCAGTACCTGGTGTGTGCTGAGTGTGCTAGGCCCTGAACTGATGTTGCACAGTACCTGGTGTTTATTGAGTATGTGAGGCCCTAAACTGATGTTGCCCAGTACCTGGTGTATGTTGAGTGTGCTAGGCCCTGAACTGACGTTTTTAAGCTCATTCAGAACAGCTCTGGAAGGGAGAATCGTTTCCATTGTACAAATAAGGAGATTTAGACACAGGTACTGACTGACTTGCCTAGGGAGGAGCCCAAGTTCCCAGCCTCTACCCTCTCCTCTCTACTTCTGAAATAACTCAGACTGTAACTGTAGAACTTGGCCATGGAGGGGAGAGGGAAAAGCCTCCAGTGAATGAGATTTAGCTGGATTGTATACTAACTGCAGAGAACACTGCAGGCACTTTTGCATGGGTGGTGATGCCGGAATAAACGAGGACTTCGTCCTTCGCCAAACACACACCAACTCTACGGACTTGGGATGAGCGGGCTCTTGGCATTCCAAAGCATCCCGCGTGTGTATTTGTCCCTGCTGTGACCAAACACCTGCTAAAGAGCAAGGGGAGACCGACTTCTGTTCACAGTTCAAGGGTGCATTCTGAGACGCTGGGAAGACGTGGGGCAAGGGAGGCTCTAGCTGTGTCCGCGGAAGCGTGAGGCAGCTGGTCACATTGTGTTTGCGGTTGGGACTCAGAGTGAGATGATTCTGTGCATGTAGCTGGCTGGCTTCCCACTTTTTATTCAGCCTGAAAGCCTAGTCCGTGGGTCGGTGCCACCCACATTCAGGGTGTGTCAAACCTTGGGTGATTCTAAGTCCAGTTTCATGTTGTCATGGGAGATGAACTATCATAGTTTCCAAAGTGGTGTGTTGTCGGCACAGGGTGTTTGGAATCTAGAGCCCTGCATTGGAATCCTCACGCCCTTGATTATTATTCCCATCTTGCCTGGGCTCCTGGGACCCATCAAAAGGAACGTAAAGATGACTCGGAGATCTGGGCGTGGTGGCACATACCTCTAATGCCAGCACTCAGGAGGCAAGGTCAGGCGGATCTCTGAGTTTGAGGCCAGCCTGGTCTACAGAGTGAGTTCCAGGACAACCGAAGATACACAGAGAAACCCTGTCTTGAAAAAGAAAAAATGATGACTCGGAGAGCTGTTGTGAGGGTCCGATGAGATGGAATGGCTTGTGCTAGTCTGTGGAGATGGAGCTCGGGGTAGCATCCAGCTGTGAGGGTCGAGGACGTCATTAAGCAGACCGTGGTGGTAGAACCACGTTTGCGTGGATGGGGTTCTCACACCCAGGGAGTCACGCGGGAGATTCCAGGGGAAGGAAAGGAGACCTTTTAGCAAAATATAATAGCTGTAGGGTGGCAGAAGGGTGTGGGGCACGCCATATTGTGGTGAGAGTCACATGAAGCCTTGGTCGAGAAGGCTAGCCTGGTCTATTGGAGACGGGTCATGAAGAGAGAAGCCTGAATGTCGTGTCTAAGAAGGTTAGGTTATGAGTGTATGTGTGTGTGTATATAAAGCCTACATTATATATAGTAGGTACATTATAGAATGTAGGTAGAGAATGGAGGGGCGGGAACACAAAACAGTCATTGGAGTACTCAAAATTTGAAAACTCTTGTTTGTTTTCCCTCATCCTCCTTGGTGAGTTTGGAGTGTGTGTGTCTGTGTAACCCAGAACTTTGGACTTGCTAAGCACATATGAGCTCTGACACCAAAATACATCCTTAGGCCAGAGTTATACTAGTATATTATGCATGCATGTAGTGGAAATCAATATGTATTTGTTAGGAGAACGTGCCTCTTTCTGCAGCGATCTAAGCATTTGGCATAGAGGATGATTGGACTCAGCACTGTAAGGAGCAGTGACGAAGCTGTTGTTGAACAACAAATGTCAGACCTTGTGGACATTTAGCCCCACGGTGTCAAGAATCCACAACATCTGCGGTTGATATTTCTTTTCTTAAACCCAGGATTTTGATTGTGGAACTATCACTCCAAATTGCTCTTGAGTAAAAACCTGCAAGAAGCAGAGAGCATTCTGGTTGGAACCAGGGAGAACTCGAGCTAGGGAGTAGTTATTAGGAAGGCTAGAAGAAGAGAAGGGTTCCCAGGAGGGTTCAGCGGGCATGGAAGTGGTTGGCTTGGCTTGGCTCTTAACCTATTCAGTTCACTTCAGGTCGATAGGGTTGAATTGAGGAGACTATGAAGAAAGAACCGAGGAAGACTTCCCGTGTGTCTCTCTTAGGCTAATGAGGAGTGGCTGGGGCATTCTCTCTCCTCTGTTTGAACTGCGGTGCTTTTGATTCTCTGGCACAAGCGGATGTGGTGAGGAGGCCAGGGGTGGGAGTCCAGAGTTGAGGTTAGAGGGTTGGGCTGGAGAATGAAGATTTGGTAACAAATCAAATAGTGTAATGGTAACCAAAACCAATAGTGTAATGGAACCCCTGGCTTTGTTTGTAACAGTTGCCGAAAGACAAACAAAGTGCTTTGCTCTGGGCACGGCATTCTGTTAAGTACTTTAAATTTTTTTTATTTTTTAAAATTTTACATATATAGGTGTTTTGCCTGCGTGTATGTCTGTGTGAGGTGTCAGAAGCCTTGGAACTGGAGTTACAGACAGTTGTGAGCTGCTCCATGGTTGCTGGGAATTGAACCCAGGTCCTCAGGAAGAGCAGCCAGTGCTCTTAACCTCTGAGCCATCTCTCCAGCCCCATGCTAAGTACTTTAATACATTACGAATTTATACTTGAGTTCAGCCATAGACTGATTATCTTCGTCCCAAAGGTGT